TATAAAATATATTCTAAGAAGAAATAGAGATATATTCACTTCTATTTTGACAGATATGAATAACTTGTCAGAGATATCGCGCTATTTTTATAAATAAGTATGAACTAAATTCCCCTTTAGAATTCTAATGTATTGTCGAAAATAAAGATCTGCAAACAATCAGGATAAAATAATGACTACAATATTTCTGTGCTTGCATCTAATTGTGTAAGCATCAATAATTAAATTTCAATTTCTGGCAGAGAACACGGAAAGAATGGTTTTGTTCAAAGATTTATAAATTTAGCTAGATACAAATCTGAAAATAATTTTATTAGACCATCAAAATAATTATGTAGGACGCACAAGTCGATTGCTACACTGTTAAATTCATAATCTCAAATTATATCCAAGTTGAGTTGTTGTTAATTATTTCTATAGGTTGCCACTCCTACTCAATTCGTTGATTTAATTGAAATTGTGGAATTAAATAATTTAACTCAAGGAATTGTAGATATTAAATTTAACTCAAATTTAGTTTATTGTTTACTATAAATGCATATGTTAATAGCGACGTTGTTTATTTTGAAACTAACCGAAAAAATGAATTGATTTACGTGTTAACATAAATTAAATAAAAGTTAATAAAATAACAAAATATTATTTAATTTTTAGTATTATTATTGTTGTTTTGATATTTAACAATGCAGAATATCAACATTTTTTAGTCTATTGTTTATGTACATCCTACGCATTCATTTTGATAGTCAAAATAAAAAAGTATTTCTAGATCTATATATATTTGATTAAATTTTTTAATGCTCCAGCAAAGTCATTGTTTCTGTGTATAACTCGCATTGTACAGTAGTTACCTCTGTTTCATGTTTCGTCCGTAAAAAAAATGCGGGATATCAAATTTTCAGCCTAATATGATAGCGTATTGCTATAGCGAGCTTTTGACAACAGTCTGGATGTTGCTCGCGTTCGTCATGAAAGTTTAACGGCGTCTGTAAATCTCGCGCGAAAGTGAATCTGTATTTTATAGGCGCACGTGATGTTTACGTGAGTGTGTGCGTGTGTCGGAGTCGTAAAGGCCGACTTGTTAAATCCCCTTTCAGGTCGGTGGTGTCAATAGGGTCGGCAGCAGCAAAAGAACAAGCAGGCGGAGCAGCTGCGAGAGTCAGGTGACCGGCGACGAGTTGTCGCTGCGCGAGATGACGCCGAGCAACGAGGAGAAGCCGCGAGTGATGAAGCTGGGCAAGAGAAACATAAAAGCCCAAGTGCGTTTCTCATATCGGCTCGTTTTTATCGCTTTCACACTTTGGCTATCGGACCTATTTTTCAAATGTTCCATAAAAACGAACAAGCAACATCCGATAGTTTCGTAAGACTTCACATGACGAAAATTCATTTTTATCTCAGTCGGCGTAGTGATAACTAGTCGATTACTGTCGGAATTAATTTATACTGCGTAAACTTAATGATCAAAATATGAATGCATATTATAAAAGAGATAACGTACTGTTTGTTGAAAGCAAAATGCAAAGTTAATATCTTTCTTACTGTTAAATATTAAAAGATCAAGTTTAAACTAATTTCTTAAGTTAAATAGCATTTTGTTGTTTTGTACTTCCAAAGTGTGTAAAATGTATGATTTTAATACAATACAAAATATACGGTTAAAGAAACAATCATATCTAATAATCCATTTCTATGGTTGAATTGCTTAGTTTCAAAGGAAACAGCATTCGTATTAAGGCATGCATCAGTAAATAATAAACTAAATTTGAATTAAATTTAATACATTTCTTAAATTAAGTTGTTCAAATTATATTTTAGTTTTAGTGAAATTGAGAACATACTAAGCGGGAGTACTGGCGGCTTATAATAATTATTAAACGTGATTCAAATTGGATATAATTTGATTGAATTTAAGCGCACTTTGTTAAAAGTAAACATTAATTTCAAGTTAATTTTATTATGATATTTTATTATAATATGCATTCATGTTTTAACAGAGTAAAGGATATTTAAAATATGTCGGTTGCCTCGATGTTTGAGACAAAATTATACGCAGGTGAAGAGATTTCGTATGGAAACGAAGGCGGCGAAGACCCTGGGTATCATCGTCGGCGGCTTCATCTTATGCTGGCTACCTTTCTTCACCATGTATCTGGTGCGCGCATTCTGTCCGAATCACATCCATCCAACCGTCTTCAGCGTACTGTTTTGGCTAGGATACTGCAATTCCGCGATAAATCCGTGTATCTATGCCCTCTTCAGCAGGGACTTCCGCTTCGCTTTCAAGAGAATCATCTGTTGCAAGTGCTCCTGCATACAACGCGCCAACACCTTACGACGTGGCAGTGATGGCAGTCAATTGGCAATGAGGTCAGTGTTACAATTTGTATTACAAAATAAATGCATTCTGCTATCTATTTTTGCAAGCACATTCTTGCAGTATAAAGGAGACATTTAAATTGGAATTGCGATTTGTATGACAAAATACGTGAAGCGGCATTGCATTCTACGGTCTATTTTTATGCGAATTTTGCCTCGTAAAAGAGAGGAAGATTTAAAAGAATTAATCATTTCGTTTATGTTTTAAATTTAAGATTTAAATTTAGAAAATCTTATTATGTCAGTATTATGGCGTATCTATCCGATTATCATCCATATCTGTTGAATTTAAACGCAAAGGAAGTTTTAGAAATACGGTTCACATAAAAGAAAATTCTTAAATTTCATCACGTTTTACGTACCGTAAACGGTGATATATATCATCAAGTCCTATATGGCGACCAAATGTTTTCATGAAAGTATTTTCCCTGGATTATATAATGCGCGATAAATTCGGTGGCTCGGTTCTAAAATAACCAATTTTGGTGAAATCGAGTTGAAGACTATGCTTTCTGAATATTTTTTAAACTTTAAACCCTAATTACCTCGAGAGAGGATATTGTTGTTTTGTAAGAAATCCACAGAATGATATTCGCACCACCGGCATGTCTCACGGGAACGATTCTGCGTGTGTTCTCGTAGGAACGAACGAAGCCCGAGTTACTCGATTCGCACGACTCAGCACGGGACCTCCATCGACGACTCGGATCCGGATCCGTCATTGGAGGCGAGCCATTCGCAGAGTGAGTCCAGATGATTGTAGCGACACGTCCGAGCTAGTACGCAGCGCGTCACCTTCAATCCCCGATCCTCGAAAGCGAGGATATTCTCATTCTGATGACGGCAGTGCCCCGAGAGCCGCGCTCGACTTCCTCGCGACCCTCTTACTGTCATAACGACGATGAGTCGCGGCCACTTTGACGCTTAGTGTGCCAACGTAAATCAGTTTCTCTATTCTACCAGACTAATGTTGCGTCAGCAGTTCCCGTAAATTAGAACACTCGGGTGAAGCTGGAAACTCTCGGATCCTATCTCCGTCTCACCGCGAATGTATGAAATCGGTAGGCGAGTAACAGTTAGATAACGAGCGACAAGTAAGACGGGCGAGTAACGTGCCACTTGCTTAACTTGTCTCGTTACTCCGTCGTCGAAAAGAAAAAAAAACCGATGCTTAGCTTGTCTACGTATAATCTCGCTACAATGGCGGCTTTACGGCCAGGTCAACAGGGCTGTAATACTCGGGTAGTTTCTTGAGTGAGGTGAGCAAATAATTTACTGCTTGATCTGCTTCCTTGCTAAATCGCGTGATCTCGTAAGAATTTACACAAAGTCAGCAGAGGAGTAAGTCAAGCAGAGGATTTCTTTCCTCGCTTTTTTTTTTGTCATCTCCTGTTAGGAGGAAAGGAAAAACGAAGAAAAAGGAAAGCAAGCTAGATGCTGTGCGATTTGCCTTTGCACTGTAATTGCGGCGAGGTCGACGAAAACGAAGTACCAGGTGGAGCTTTGCGATACGCGTCTACGCGGAATTGGATTCCAGCGCGATAGACCCAGAACGCGGCGCTTCATCTGTAAGAAGCGAAAAAAAAAAGAAGAAAAGGAAAAATCGACTTCCCTACGCGGATCGTTGTAGGAACGCGTTTCCTCGCGATAACCGTCGCGACGCTACGCTTCGATTTGTACTTTTGAGCTACGCGAGAAGCTTCGCATGCGGTTTATCCTTCATAAACGACCGTCTTCTTGCGTCCGGTAGACGCAATAAATTATGATGACCGACATAATTATGATAAATTCGGCCATTCACTGGTTAGTGCACATTTAAAAAAAGCTGCTTTATATAAAGTATCTAAATGGATTCGCATTTAATACAATCAACTTTGATAATGAGATAATACGTGTATTCTATTAAATAACGTAATATCATTATTGGATATTTAATTGTTCAAAATCGTGTACAGCAGCTTTTAGTGTGCATTAATCTAGTGTAATGCAAATGACCGAATTTGCTATTAGTATATACGTTACATGTGCCCCGCGCAGATCTCACCGGAGGATAATCGGTCGTTTATTATACCTGGAGATGATAACCTCCAATAATTTCGAATAATATGTACGCAATCGGTGTGCCTTCTTTCGTCATCCCCGTAGTAGAGTGCACCGTTTTCGCGACGAGAGAAAGTTATCCGCTCTCTGTTCTTCCAGACGCACAGAGTCGTTTTGCAATGTTATTTATTTGTTTCGATATATGTTATTCGCGCAAGCGAATTACACATCGTGTAGCTTCTAGTCCCTCAGCCCGAAACTTACTCCGGTTTCGTGCGGACGATCGGATCGGCCGATCGACTCTTATAATTCGTCTTGATCGTCCGCAACATCTGCATGGAAAGAATAATTTTGATGAAGTACTTAAAAGTTTAGTTAGATACAGATATCAAAATAATTTTGTTAAACCATCAAAATAATGACGTATACCATTGGACAATTTATGTTAAATTTAACATATTTCACATATTCCAAACGGTCCAACTTAATTTTATCTATTCGTTTAACACAAGATGAATATATTAGAAGGTAACACAAATATTATTTAAGAATATGAATACAAAAAAAAATAGAGATACAATTTGTAAATAAACCGACGATTGTTAAAAATAGACATATTTTTTTCAGTAAAATTAATATTTGTGATATATTAATCTAACACATATTTATTCATCTTAGAATTTACGTTTTAAAACTAAATTGTGTTATTTTGACACTAAGAAATATTGAATATCAATTTAACGCAAACTATTTAAATAACATAATCACATTGTGTTAAATTAATACTCGAACGTGATAAAAAAAATTCAACGCAAAAATTTAACAAGGACTTGAGTGATTGGACGGTTTTCTAACATATACACGAGATATTTTTACTGTGTAGAAATCTCAAGCAACGCTGCAAAAAATTTAACATTTTAGCCAGTTTGAGCGTTATATATAATTATTTTGATAAGCCAACAAAATTATTTTTAGAAATTGCATCTAACTAAATTTTTATATACTTCAACAAAACTGTCCTTTCCATATGTTCTGTGTATGTGCGTGCGTGTGTGTGCGTGCGTGTTTTGTATGTGTGTTTGTGTGTGTATTGCGCCACGCATTCGTCCTACGTCGTTATCGAAGATTGCACATTGAGAAATTGAGAATCATCGCGGAATAATTCTCAATCCGGGAAAGAAAGTAGAAGTTGGACAATCGGCACGCGTCCGATCGGGAACAAACGTCTGACAGGCACAACGACAGACATAACGAGTGACGCAGACCTCCTGTGTACATATCGATATCTATGTGTGCGCAAAAACACGCTAAGTATGTCGTTATATCTTCTATATGAACCGATATTCACGTGCACCTTTCGCATAAATCGGCGTTTCTCTTCCCCTCCCTCTCCCCTCCATTCTCCTCCATTCTCCTTTCTTCTTTTATTCCAGCGATTTTCCGCAATGCATCTGAAATAAGATCGCAACTCTTTGCTGCCATTGATCTATATGTTTCTTTTTATCCCGCGTGTATCAATTGTACGGCAAACATTTGCACCACGTCGTCGTCGCCGCGCATGCAAAATGCACATGTATTACTTTATACAATGGAGCAATGTTGTGCTGGGCGGCATCACGTCTTAAGAAAAATTCGACGTCTCGTCCTCACGAAATCTTCCGGATTTATTCTCCTTTCTGATCGCTGTCATAGCTTTGCGCAACTGTAATTCAACAGAGGCGGCGAGACGACTGATCGATTTAAAGAAAAAAATTGCGTGATTCATGTATTATGTGATATCGTATAAATAAGTAAAAAAAAAGTATCACGGATGGAAATAAATATGTGAGTATAAACAAATCCGTGGTCTTCCACAATTTGTATTGCATACGCTCGGAAATTTCAGCGGCGCAGCACGACTCATTTTACGGTACGTATTAAATCAATACTACTAAAAATTTAAAAAAACAAAGGAATTCTCTGTTTCATAACGTCGTATAATTTTTTTAGATATATCTAGTTTATACATATCGCTAAAGTTTACCTTCAATTAAGAGTAGTTTCTGTAATTATGTATGATTACCAGGAGCACATCCTATCCCCCCTCTCCCTCTCTCCTCCCCCGCCTCTCTCCATGAATATTCCTTTCTAAATTTTAAAATAACGTCACGCGGAAGTAATTGAGTTATTATAATTACGCACTACTGCAGGTGACTTATAGAATATTCATGATATACAAACGAGTTACAACCATATTTCTACAATTGAGCGTTTCGATTCAGTGATTATTTTATTAAGTTTTGTTATGTTTCCCTCGCTGCTCTGAGTCTTCCGTCGGAATCCTAATTTGCGTCCCGTACAACTCGATCTGAATCTCCTCGAAGCTTCTGCCCTTCGTTTCCGGCACCATCACGGAGACAAATATAGTTCCGATTAAACTTATCATGCCGAATGTAGCGAATGACGAGGAGATTCCCATGAGATTCACCATGTCCTGAAAGCACTTTGTCACGAGAAAGGCCAACGTCCAGTTACACATCACGGCAGTATTTGCCACGCTCTTAACGTTGTTTGTGAACAACTCCCCGACCATCAACCATGGTACGGGAGCAAAGCCGATACTGAAAATTACGATGAATACTGCGAACGAGAGCAGAGGAATCCAGGAGAAGCTCGAGAGATCGTGAGAGCTCTGAAACAACCGAGAGAAGAGCAAATCAATCTAATTAAGAAATTTCAATGTAGAAATATGAAATTACAAATCGATATACAATTAAAAATTACTATTCGTGATCATTGATATTTTTAATCAAATATTTAGAGAATTACAAATTTGTAATTAAAATTTGTATTGTTCAATTAATATTTTGTTACCTGGAAACGAAAATATCCTGACATTGTGAACATACAAACTGCCATCACTGACGTACTGATGAATAATAATAGCTTTTTGCCGACGCGTTCAATCAAAACGGTCGAAAAATAAGTAGCAATCACTTGTACGACACCCATTATTACTGATGACGTAGATGAGCTCAGAATTGAGCCCGCATCGTCGAAGATCTTTTTTGCATAAAATATCAGAATGTTAACACCGGAGAGTTGTTGAAAAAACATTAGACCTAAAATCATTAAACATTGAATTAAAGCTAACATATATATGTTTGTGTAATATATCAAATTATCAATTAGATAAAGTTGATAAAATTAACAGAATAATTAGTTATTGCAATAAAAACATTCAGTAATCGATTTAATTCGCAACTAATTACTAATTAAATTAAATCTTTTACCGAGTATAATGCAGGTCGCTCTTGGATAATTCTTCAAATCCGAAATATTGGGTTTGATTTCTCGCATTTCTGAGGCCTGAAGCTCGAGCCTGGTCAATTCCGCTTCAGTGCTACAACGAATTCCCCTGAAATGTTTTAGCACAATATTTGCCTCGTTCTTCTGACCCTGCATAACCAGCCACACCGGTGATTCCGGTACGAATGGGAAGAAAATCAAAAGCAAAGCGGGCGCCACGGAACAAAGTATCGCGATGACAGGCAAGCTATCGGTAAAAGCTGCAAACGTCACCGCTTATCATTTCAAGAAAGTTTTACAGTCGTGTGTAACAACTAGAATTCTCGCGACTTGAAGTTCATCTATCATTACAAACACCTTTAAATTATGTACAGTAAAGTCAAGTTCTCTCTCTTTATAATGACATCTTCCTTTAATTCTTTGTGTCATTAGATATCTAATATTATACAGATGTTTAAATGAAGAGCTATATTTGCATATTGCAGCAAATGGAAAAAAGCGAATATTCAACTAAATTTTTTATAAAGCTTTTTTATTATTAATATTAATTATTTTACATCAGTTTTGCCAATCAATATATCATTGATATAATAGAATATAATATATATTCGAGAAAACAATATACATTTTAATTAATGTGCCTCTGACTTTAATTGTAGATTTTAGACGCTTTCCAGCAACGAAACACAATAATACATAATGTCAACTTATAACTGAAACGTTGCTTAGCTCTTGCCAGAGCTGAAATAAAAACAAAGGTTTTGTATACTCACGTCCGAATATATTTGAATATAATCTTAAAACTTCTTATTAGAGTATCATTTCTAGGAAAATAAATATAATAAAATGTAAAAATTTCGTATTCGTAAAGTAACACAAAAGAACGACGCAGTCGAACATAGCATTTTAGCTGCGTACATTTGTGTCAGTTGAAAAGCACGGAATTGTACACTGTGTTACATAATGTTGCTAGAAAGGATTGTAGTGTATCAAAAACATGGCACATGTCATAAAATTATCCAATGTTATATTTAGAAAAGTGCTTCTTTACCAGTAGTATATCCGAAGAGAATTCCGGCGGTAATCTGCAATTGAAAAATGATGCCAGGCAAGCCTCTAATGCTCTGCTCGGCAATCTCAGAAGCGAACATGGGAACAACGACAGATGCTGCACCGCATGCTGCCCCCGCAACAAACCGAGCCAGGAAAATCCTTTTGACGGAAAAACTCGATTACGTAATGTAAATAGAAAATCAATGAAACCGTACGATAAAGTCGCTATCGCTGGCTGGGAATGCAATTAATGAAAACGTTCATGACGGACAGCAGACTTCGACGAAAGATGTCATTTATTAATTGTTTAGACTTATTAATTTCTCTGCCACTCTTATAGAAATCTAATATCGGCCAATTTATTACTGAAAGACAGGAATTAATTACTTATTCGGAGTACTAAAAGTATTGAACAACAATTAAATATTTAATATTTAAGATAAGTAATTAATTACTGTCTTTTAGTATTAAATTGATCAGTATTAAGGAGAGTAATTGAATTATCAGTCATTTTCCAACTTAAAAAAATGGAGTTATCTGACCTTTCTTATTTTTTAACACGAGAATACAAAGCATGCAAAATACCATTGCTATTTCTAAAAAATAAATAATTAACAAAATTTTAGCGGTAATATTGTAATTTGTTATTAAAACATTTTCTTTATAATAAAAATAAATATTTATGTGAAAAGGACAAATCGTTTATAATAATTATTTAAATTCAATTTAGAAATTAATAATTTTAACGGAAACGACGTTGCCATGTTTTCATTAATGTAAAAATATGGCAATGTTATATTTAAAGATATTGTGACGTTATTGATGTATTTAAAGAGAATTGAATAATTCATGAACACTTCATTCCCTTGCACGAAAATAATATGGTGAAACTTCATTTTTTTAATTTATTTTAATTTCAAAATGTTCTTAAACTCTATTCTTTTATATCTATGTAATTCTCCAAAATTCTTATATTTTGTTTACAATTAAATTATTTAAAACTCTCCTTCTCCATAAGAATTTGAACTACTTTAGAAA